GCCCGTCAACATCAAAGGAAGAACATGTTCAACCTTTTTAAATCCACACAGGTCACAAACAAGTTCTACCTTCTCAATTCATTCAGTAACTGCTTGTCTGGTCACTGAACCATCAAACTCAGGTATCAACTTGACATCAAATGTCTTGTCCAGCATAGTGCCGAAATAGCTTGTAGGTGATCGGGGATTGCAAAGGAAATATTTGTTGCAGATTATTTCCACATCACCAAGAAAAAATCACTAATTTCAGACTCGAACATCAGGGACAGAAAGAAAATGCCGAAAACTCGATTTGCAAGTACTATTTCACAAATCACAATGCACGCAACCAGTCAGAAAAATAACTCCCTCGCCAACCAACATGGCAGCCAAAATCGCCGATTTTTTTCCCCCGATTTGAGAACACCAACTGCTTTTATCGGCCGAACATTTTTTTTTTCCATTCATTGACAGCTGGGAGAGGATGTTCAGTAATTTGCATGTCAACATACTTTTATAACGACTCCTGTGACAGACTTGTTTTTTAATTCAAATATTTCATTTTCAGCATGTCATGCGGAATACATGCCCTTTTGTTTGGTAAGTAATTCTCTTTTTCGCCACATTTTTTGTCGTAGAATACACGCGACGTGCTGTCACTTGGTTTGATGAGGTAAGTCGCCGTTTTCTTCGCTATAGTTGTACCATATTTTTCTCTAGGAGTGTAACAAATCCAGTTTCACAACCTGTATTTGCATTAGTGTTTTCAACAAGAATAGCCTTAAGTGTACTCACACTGTTAAATTCTTCCGAAACAGCAGCAACTTCCTCTGCAAGTACAGCACCAGTTGCACCAGTATGGGGTAGAATCTTATGAGTGAGATATTCACTTACATATCCCATCTCCTTTGTGAAAGTCAGGTGGTGTTCCCTTTGCTTTTTTTCAGTTTTTTCTCTCCATTTGCTTTGACAATTTCTTTGTAAAGTTTCTTTGTCTTTTCTTCCATCAATTCTAATACAAACAATGTTTTCTACCTTTTCATCATGATTTTCATGGGCATTTCTTTTCACTTTTGCTTTTGCTCTATCTATTTTGCATTTGTCAATGATGGTATTTTTTACATCAGTAACTAGGATTGAGAAGGCCCATAGCCTGTAAGTCCAAAAGCAAGGCATTAGCAAGGCTGGCTCCAAGATTAGAAGGAACATCACCTGTGATTAACTCAATAGCATACTGAGGAATTTTTAAAAGGCTGTAGGATCCTTTGGGATGACTAACTGGTGCCAAATACTCATCTTTTCATCTTATTTGCTTTGCCTTCTGTAAGCATATAACGTTCACCTTATTCACAATGGACTTAACAGAGTATTAACTCCCTTCCAAATACCAATCAAATCCTTTGCTATTAATTTAGAAATAACAAAACTTGTTAAGTGTGGAGAAGTATTTATTAGGAAATAACTGTATTGAATAACTTGTCGAAAAATTAGGGACACTGTTTTATCTAACTCTGAAGGTGGACCTGAAAATTTTCTGGCATCATTACTGCGGGTAGAAATTGCAGTGTGCTTTCCTACCGTTTTTATTAAAATATCTGAAAAGAAAATATATAGTATGATATTATAAGAAATTACACATGAATATTTCCAAATCTAAATTGAAAATGAAATTAGAAAAATATGATAATGGTAATAATGTAAATGTATTTACTTACAGAATAAATATTCCTAGATTAGCATGTAAACAGCTACAATGATTATTATTTTTTTTTTTTTTAAATAGTTAAATCTATTTTAATATAAAATACAAAATAGATGTAATTATTTTTGTATTAGTAAATGAAGTGTATGAGAAAAATAAATCACAAAAACAAAAATATAAAGGGAGATAATTCCAATAGATGAACACAGAAAGAAGTAACTGGATAAAATAAGACTGTATTCGTGAGTAGTTATTTGCATTTTAAATTGAATATTTTACTGTGTTTTATTTTTTTATTAACTTTTATTCAATTTTTCAAGAACAGTATGGATATTACAATTAAAACTACCATCATTAAAAGTATTTTCTTCTTTTGTTTTCTTTAAGATCCGGTTTTAATTGTTTCTGGTAACTGATATAATTACAGAACTTGTGATTAATTTTTTCTTCAAATTCATTTCCTCAAAAAACGGCTAAGTTTTGAAGAAAATATTTTGTGTGGTAATTCTTTACATTAATTTGCAACTTTCTTGGGGTGATACTGATTACAGTTTCGAAATCGACATATCCTAACTACCAACAGTATAGTATTCTTGGTGAGATTACTTGGCAGTGTTTTTTTTATCTTCACAGACATTGTATGTTGACATCAGCAAGCTGGGAGGTAACCAGATCCTACAAAGATTTTGTCCAGTGGTCATTTCTGCAGAGATTTCACGTGAAATCCCTGCAGCAAGTGATAACTTCTTTGTTGAAAATGAAAACTAATTTCAAGCCACAAACCAACAAACTTGATACCTAACAATGGGCTTAATGATAGCAAATTGAAGAGTTTAAAACTATATAGAGAGTAAAGAATTATTAAACTTTCTATGTAGCTTTGTTGATGATCTTTCAGCAGGAAAATTATTCTAGCAGTCACTGGAGAGACCTCAGATCAGCAACTAGAAAAATAAAGATTAATTGTATATGTTTTTCTTCTCTCTGGGTATTGGTTGGTTTAAATAAGAACTTCACAAACCTCTGACATTGAGATTTATTGCATGTTTTACAATAAGATATTATGACCTTTCTTTGAAATGTTTCATTGAAGCCAATTTGTCTTTGATATGGCTGGCTCAATGCCAGCCAGCCAGCCAGCCATAAAAATAATTGTCTCCAAAACATGATATCAGCTGGTGGGGATAAACCCCTACTTACAAGACATGAGCAAAAGGTGTGTAAAAAATTTGAACATTTTTAAAGTGTTTGATGTGGGGTTGGATTAAGTGAATTTAGTGAATCCACAGTTTTTTTTAACACCTCTGTGAGAAGTCCAGACTTTGGTGTCAGTTCTTTGATTTTGATTTTTCATGTTTTTCATGTGAACTGTTAGGGAAAAAAAAATGAAATAAGTGAACCAATTGTTTATTTTTTTATCTTATCATAGGCCTAGCTTTAATACAGATATAAAATCATTACTTCAGACTAATGTAATGTTCTTCTAATGGAACTATATATATGTATGGAGGAGAAATATAAACATAAACTTTGGGTATGATTTTACACGTAGGACAGATGGTGAAGACACAAATACTAAATTTTTTAATTCCTGGTGTCTGATGTGTCTAGACACAAATTTCAGCCAGTCTCCTTTTTTTATCCCAAAACTTTTGTTTTTGTTGCTGTTGTTTTTAAATATCCAGCATTGTGACATTAGAAAATTTGTTAAAAAGGTGAAATGTTGTAAGGACCTGGGTGCAAATTTAGAGTGGAAGATTGCATTTTCTATACATTTTCACCTTAGTAAATTATTTTGAAGATGTAATTTTAAAATTTAAAGGATGTTTCACCTCAGTGCATAATAATAACTGATGTTTATATATCCTCCCCTATATACAAGGTAACCAAAAAAGTTCTGTCCATTTTTAAAGGAAAAAAAAAAACGCTTCACAGTATGTGTAACTTATATTTAGTCTTTGAAGTAATTGCCATCGGCATCCAGCACCTTCTGCCAACGCATCTCCAGCTGTTCAATGCCCTTGTGCAAAGAAGTCCGTGAGGGCTTTGGGCAAGTCTGCTTCATTGGTGAAGGATTTCCCACGAAGATGATTATCCAGGGAGTGGAAGAGGTGGTAATCGGATGGTGCAAGGTCAGGTGAATAAGGTGGATGGCACAAAGTCTCCCACCCAAGTTGCTGTATGGTATCCCTGACCACTTTGTGCGACATGCGGCCTGGCGTTGTCATGGAGGAAAAGCCCACCTTTGTGATTCACCAGTGCTGGCTCTCTCTGGTGCAATGCCTGTTGCACACGTTTCAATTGCTGCGAGTATAGGTCTCCAGTGACCGTTTGGCCTGTTGGTAGCAGTTCATAATGAACCACTTGATGACCTGTCCACCAGACACAAAGCATAATCTTGCGTGGGTGCATAGGTGGTCTTGGAAGTGTGAGGGACAGCATCCCGAGGAGACAACCAATGACTGGAACATTTTACTTTCATTCATACAGAACCTACTTTTCATCACTGGTAAGCACTCAATTGAATAATGATGCGAGTAACGTGGCGAGAAAGCATTTTTCAATACGCAAGCTGCTACTTGTCCCTTGTGGACCTCAACAGCATTTATGGAACCCACTTGCTCAGTTTGTAGATATCTTACCTAGGCGGTACAGGCAAGTCTAAATGTTTTATTGGAAATGTTGAACTGTCTTGCAAGTTCACCAAATGTTAGAACTACATATCTTCAATGGCCACCTTCAGGACTCAAATATTCAAGACCTGTGGCCATCCACTTTATGGCTCATCATGGAGAGACAAATCTCCCAACTTGAATTTTTGAAACCAACGCCTTGCAGTACGTCCATCCACAGCACTATCCCCAAATGCTTGACATATGCGGTGACTTGATGCAGCTGCTGATAAGCCCACTTTGAAGTCGTAAAGCAAACAGCCCCGAACAAGATCTCTAGATACTTCCATCCTCCTCACAGCTGTCCAGCTTATAACTGCTGGCCAGGCACGGTGCACATGTTTTTTATAACGTCTGATGTTCCTACTTCTGGCTGTCCGAATTTGAAAACAATTGCTACACGCATTTCATATATATTTCAACTTCATTCAGTGACTAATCAAAAAACGGACAGAACTTTTTTGGTTACCTTGTATGAGTCCATTTAGATAATGAAATGATTTCCAGAGAATTTTTTCCACTTTGTCATTCAGTTACCTAACATATTTCTGATATATGAAAAATTATATCATATTCTCTCATATATGAGGGTAAATTAGTAAGAGCAATTTATATATTTAATTTATATAAAAATATTTTTCTTTCAGGTCACATAGAATTTACAGAGCATTTTACATCCCATTCATATCAAGGAATCATTGTACATATGTGAATTATAATCTCTTGATATCCTTACGCAATATGAAGACATCACAAAATTGAAGTATTTGATATGAAGAATAGAAGGCATCGGCAAAATCAAAAAACACCTAAATTTATGGAATGAAATAGATGGTTTTATCATTTCAGTACAAAATTATAACTGGTTTTGGTAATTTATGCAAAAGAAGAATACTGTTGGATTAGCTTTGCTCCATAATAAAAATTATACTTGTGATTGCTTTTTGGGATCTTTTTTACACTGTTTTGAGTAAAATATATTTTTAAAAAACTTTTCTCTTTTCCAATACTCTCATAGTAATCTCCTTATTTTTAAGAATAAATTAACCTCAATAAAAATAGAGAGTATTGATACTAATAATTTTTATTTTATTTTTATAATACAAAATGAGATATGGAAAATAGATTCATTGCAAAAATCAGTAGAAATATTGACAAGTACTTGTTTAAAAATCTGTTGCAATATGTTCTATGAATATTGGATTTCAATGAAAAAATAGCATTAAAATTATTTTTTACAAATTATAAATTGCTTTTGATGATTCTTATGCAAAAATTGTTTCTATATGCATTAAAATGATATTTCCAGAAGAATAGTTATTTGAAAGACTTTATCTCAGAAACAAGACTTTCATAAAAAAATATTTCTAATAGAAAAATGTAACAGTATAAATTTTAGTGTTTCCTGCTTCAGGTATTTGCCATTTCTAAAATTTATTTATATAATTCTTGTCAATCTTTTCTGCAAAATCTGAGAATAAAGTTACATGGCATTATCAATTTTGGTAGGCCATTTCATAAAATTAAATTTTCCACATTTTGTATAGGTACAAAAGAATTAATTCAGCAATGATTTTTCATTTTTGAAATTGTTTTGAACACCTCAAGTAGGACAAATTCGGTCTTTTTTTAAAAAAAGTTATTTAAAAATTTTATAAATAAATATTTAAGTAGTGAAAGTATATATATATATATATATATATATTATAATAAAAAGAAAAAACAGTAAGATATATAATCCGGTGTTCTTATTGATATTTTTATTTTTACAAAACAGTGCTCAATGTAAATTTACAGAGCTTAAATATTATAAATTAACTGATTTAAAATATGGTTTCTTCACTACACACAAATTACCATGTTTCAAAGACTGAAGCTAAAAACTTCAAATTTAATTATATAATTAAATTAAAAGCATTAGTTCTGTTTCATCTTGAAGGAAATTTTGGAATAACTTATTTTTAAATTTACTGAATTTTAAACACACATACAATTCATAATTTTTTTGTTTCCAAGGATACAGAGAAATCCAATCAGTTAGACAGGGGCAGTTGCGTGTTCATTTTTATTAACTATTATTATATCAATTATGAGTTATGTTCGTAAAAGAGGTTAAGTCTAGGGATGGTAGGGGTGCATTTTTTCCACGATTTTTGACATCCGTTCAACGCATGTTGTCTGGTTTTTGTCAGCAACAAAAAGTTTTTCAGCATTTTTTCCATTAAATTTGTACTTGTATACTTAAAGATTCTTTCTAAAAGGGGTGTTTGGGTCAGAATACGTTATATTGAACTACAATTATAAAATATTATTTTTACTCTTAATTACTAATAGACTATATTTCTTTTTAAATCAAGTAAATGTAATAGAATTACTTAAATTATTTAAAATTATTATTACAAAAATATAAGTATTATATTTCCCATTTTTTTATTTTTAAATAATATTTAAAAATAAATTAAATTTTTTTATTTTATTTTAAATATTTAAAAAAAATTTTTTGACAATTTAATGTCCTACATATTCTAGCTATTTCATTTCTTTTCATTTTTGGTAAATTTTTTTTTTTTGAAAACTTAGTAATATATAGTTTCTCAAAGTATTTCTTAAAGGACAAAGGTGATTTAATAAAATATTTTTCTAAAATTTTTCTTATTAATTTCACTAAACCAAGTAGTAAGGCTTAAAATATTCATTTACTAAATTAAAGAAATGAAAGTAACATATTTTGTGGGAATTGTAAAAAAAGTTCATTTTAATCATATTTAAAAATAAATAAAAAAAAATGAGAGTTGCTAATATACATAAATTATATTTGATATACAACATCAAAAGGGAATAATTTACAGACAATTGTTTGTTTTTTATTTATTTGAATTTAAAAAGAAAAATAGTCAAGATTTAAACTGGAAAATATAAAAATGTATTGTATTCAATCTAAAGACAAAAAACGCGCCAATATTCATTTATATATTTTACAAGTATGCCCTAAATTGAAAAATCCTTTTTCCACAAAAAAAACATGACTCTAGCCAAAGGATGTCAAAATTTGAAAAATGACAAAAAAAAGACTGAATTTTTTTTTTTATTTTTTATTTTGATTTTTTAACAGTTCAAAAATGTAGACATGATGTGTAATATATAATTAATGAATATAGATAATTAGCCAATGTCAACCTTAAATGCTTTGTTAGTTTTTTCAATCAAAATAAGAGAAAAATTCCAAATTATAATTTATTTGATTTGAAACATACTTTGTGTTTTGCTTTTTAATCTGAATTGGTTAAGTTCTCACCTTGCAAAAAAGTTTCAGATATTTTAGATGGCTTTTGCTTCTGGCTCAACTGTGATTAATTAATGAGATGACATTCATTAAAACAATTATCCAAGAATGTCCAAACTCAGGCTGTTGCTTTGGATATCTCAAAGGCATTTAACATGGTTTGTTCAGTTCAGTTATTCACAATTAAAATGCAAAAAAAAATACTATATTTATAAAAAATAAAATTTCTTGTCTTAAATTGTGAAATACAAATTTTTTACTATAGCCACTCTTGAGAAACTTTTATAATTTAAACCTGGTGATCAAATTGTATTTCCTTGGACTTTCTGATGGTTTTTTTTTTTTTTTCAGGATGAAAATTTTGAAAAATCATTTTTCTTTATCAGATAAAAATTCTGTGCTGATGAATAACTATTTTCCTTTTTTGTTCTTAAAAAATTTAATCTTTTGAATCGATGCTTTAAACTTTTTTTGATCTCAAAAATGACCTACAATCTGTGTTAAATGAATTATTGGTTATGATGAGAGAATTTTAAAATTTCCAAAACTGCTCTCTTTAAAACATCTAAAAATGCCCTTTCATCAGATAAATGATACTAACATTAAAAAGTTTCTGATTGTCTTAATACAGGAGATGGATTTGATGGAAAAATTCATGAAGACAATTTTTTTTTTTGTAGGTTCTTCTTTGTGGAATGTTTCCTTGCTTTGAATCCCTTCACATCTGGTTTGGTGTTCCTTTAGAGATTCTTGATAAAATCCAAAGAATTTACAATGTTATTAATCCCAACATCTTGGCTTCTTCATTTTCCTAAATGACTTTTTAGCAAAATAGCTTCCCTGTGCCTTTTCTATAAATACTTTCATGTTCCTCTATGGTTTATGTATCTAAAAAATTTTATTTACTTGTCTCAATTTTAACATTTTTATATTTGATGGTATTTAGGAGCTAAAAATGCTTTTTTTTTCACAAAAGGGAATATTTAGGAAATACTGATAACATTAGTTAAATATGAAATTAAGGAAATGTTTAAACTTCAAGTAAAAGAGAAAATTATTTTTTGGACATTGGAAAAAATGCATAAACAAAAAAAATTATTGCTTTTAAGATGGATATTGAAATTTTTTTATTCATAATATTGAGATAAGTATAAAATAACTATTAAAACACCAATACTTGAAAAGGTAAAGCATTTGATATTAGACAAAAAAATTGAATTGTTATAATAATTGTCAAGTTTAAGAGAAAGATGGTTGTTTTTTCATTAAAATGTTTGAATTTTATAAGAATTTACAAAGAAAGAATCTCTATGGATGCAGCATATTTATTATTAAAAGGAAAACCTGATTAAATCAAATATATTTATTTTGAAAAATCCCTTTGTACAATGAGAAAAAAAACACATTTTGGAAAAAATAAAAAAATTTCAAGTAACTTACTATTGAATATTAAATTAAGGCTGTTTTAAATTCAACCCTGGGTGGTGTTATGAAAATTGGTATTCTCTCTGACAGATATAGTCCTGTCAATGAAGATAACTCTCCTGTATGTATGGTGATACTGCCTTTTATACAATACTTAAATTAAATATCACTACACTTCTCTGAACCTAAGAGGCTTTATACCTTTAGTTGATCTTTGGCTTCTATGAACAATCCTGGGAGACATAATCTGTCTCTCAGAGTGAGTCTCTTTATTTCTTTTTATAGGAGATCTAGGTCTTAACTGATTCCCCTCATTTTATCCTCTGTTTCCTGTTCTTCCTGATCACTCTCAATACTGGATTCATTCATCCTTTCTTGCATTGTCTGTTCTTCTACTTCCTCTTCCTTCCTTTTTTTTCATAACTTCATGCTCTCTTGTGGTTCTAAATTGGTCTTTGTGAGCCAGTATGTCCTGTCCATTCTTTGTTAACACAGCTGTGTTAAATCCCTTTTGCACCACAAAATTTGCCTTTTCAGGACTTGAATCCTTGTCCTTTCTGTACCACACACTTTCATTCATTGCAAATGACATGGTAATCGGAGCTCTTATTTGTCTTCCCATCAATGTAGATGGACTTTGTCTTCTGCCTGCATGCAGAATAGCTCTATAACTTAGGAGTAGTCTGGGTAAATAACTCTCTATATCACAATCCACTGGAGAGAATGCTTTTAATCCCATTTTTACCATTTGAACCATTCTCTCTGCAATTCCATTTGACTGTGGGTGGTAAGGTGGTGTTTTGTATGGAATGCAGCCAATACATTTTAACCATGCATATAAACTTTCTTCACAAAACTCAGGTGCATTGTCGGAGACAAGGTTTTTGGAACTCCATTTCTAAAAAACACTATCCTCAACACCCACTTCACAGTAGTGGCTTTTCTATCCGTGACTTTAATAACTTCAGGCCAACCTGAATACAAGTTGACTAATATCAGAAATAGTCCTATACCTTTAATGTAGGCATGATCCATATGTACTTGTGTCCACAGT